AAAGAGAGAGAGAGACAGAGAGAAAGAGAGCCACAGGTGTAAAGTAGTTAATACTGTCCCTGGCCCATAGAAAGGGCTCTATAAATGTTAACGTTGATGAGAATGGTGACAACAGTAGTAGCCACACTCTAATTCTGAAGAATCTTCATAAAAACAGAGTCCCACCTTCCTAATTCCAGCTGGCCTCCGCTCCTCTAGGCTCAGGCACTGAATAAATGAACAAGTGGTATACTCTGGGACGCAGGAGAAGGGGCCCTCGAAGACCAAAGGAGATTTGCATCCTACACAGTGGTGAGAGTGGGGAGTCCTTCAGAACCAGAGGCAGCGGCAGTAGCATGAAGGTTCTCTCCTTATGATGGATGAGGGGAGCAATAGGGTCCCCAGAGTCAACAAGGGAGAGAAAGTGAGTAAACAAGGGTTGAGGATGGGCTGGATGCTTTCAATGACATCGCTCAGTGTCCCTTCATAATCCCCCCATGTGGTGCTATTATTTCTGTCTTATGGATAAAGAAAAGAATAAGTAACTCACCAAGGTCATGCAGCTGAGAAGAGCCTGGGCAGATTCCTAGTCAAGGCCTTCCTGACTGCAAAGCCACCCTCATAGTCCAGCCTGTCTGGGCTGGGCTGGGCTAAGGGTTCAGGGGTGGGCTCAGGAGTCCATCAGTTGGACTGTCTCTGGACAGATACCTCTGGACTCTGTCTCCTCCTCCTCCCACGCACTGCCCTAGTCTGGGCTATTGTAAGAGTCTCCTTTCCAGCCTATCTCGCCATCCTCTTACTCCAATCTGAGTTCTCACTTCAGACAAAAAACACAGTGGACCAGTCCTCCCCTGGTGTAGTCCTCCCCTTTCTTGCCCATAGGCCTGCTTCTCACATGAGCAGGGTCTGCCTAGGGGCATGCAGCAGAGGAGGAGGCTGCCTTCCTGGGATGCCAATCATACTTTCCAGTTACGACAAGTCCTTGCTACAGAGTGGGATGCAAAGTGCCCAGGGACTGTGCTCGGAGCAGAAGTTTATATGTGTTGGGGGGAAGAGGGAGGCAGAGAAGAGGATCATTCCTCATCAGAAAGGTTTCAATGGCTACAAAGATGAAGATAAAATCAGCCTGGTCCAGCAGGCCCTGCCACACCTAGCTTCCAATGACTCTTCAGTTGTGTGTCCATGATGCCTGGGGGTGCTCTGTGCTCCAGCCAGAACTGTCTCTAGCCTTCTTCCTTATCAGTAGCAATGTATTGACTCTCTGACCAGAATGACTTTCCACCCTGTTTTTGGCTTGGGAAGCTCCTATTTATTCCTTAAGGCCAATTCCAAGTACCCCTCCTCTGAGACGCCCTCCCTGATCCCACCTCATGGCTGGATGTCACGTCCTCTCCCCTAATCTGCAATGCGTTCCCTCGGCACCTTGCACTTCCCTCCTCACAGCTTCTTACCACAGGCACTGTGTCACCGCTTTGAGAGGCAGCCTCTCCAGGAGGCCGTGAGCTCGTGAGGTTGGGGAGTCCATCATTAACTCTGCCTTCATTCCCTTATTCAACACACATTGGGAGTCCCTCCTGATGCCAGGCCAGGGGCTCTGGGTGCAAGGATGATTCAGTGTGTCAGATCAGAAAAGCCTATGATCTGAGGGAAGGCAAACCATCCATTCATGCATCGATTGCCGTATTAAAACAACAAATAAACCAAAAAGCAAAATTCCATGCTGAGCCCCAACACTGGGCCAGGGCCTCTGCTCAGGGATGAGGATAGAGAAAAAAACCAAACCTGTTCTTGCCCTCAAGGGGATCCTAGTCTGGCCAAGGAAAATGCCTAAGTGCGTAGTGTGTTCCCAGGGCTGTGGGGCACCAAGGCAAGTGTGGAGTCCTTTTCTTTCTTTCTTTCTTTTTAATAACCAATTAAGAAATGAGAGAATGAACACATTTTTTCCTATGTGGGTTTTTTTTTTCTTTGCAGGGGTAGGGTGGTGCATCATGGGGCTTTAGCCATGAATAAACTCTGTAAATCAAGTCATCCAAAAAATCATGATCAACTGATTGATTGAAATGTCACACAGGAAGTCGTTAGCAGCAACAGGACTAGATTCCAGGTTTCCACGACCTTCGGATCTCCACCACCCTGGACATTCTCAATGGAGAGCAAATCTGCTCTGCAGCTGGCTTGATGGGATTCTGCAGCCTGGAGCGGTCGAGCCTCCCGCAAACTCACAGTAAAATGCAGCAGTCTTGGCCTGCCTCCCAAGGGGGTCGTAAGCATTAATTAGTTACCACTGGTAAAGTGCTCTGAAGATGTGGGGGTGTATAAACAGGACAAGTCATTAGGCCTCTCCACACCACTATGCTCTAAAGCCTGGGGACTGCTAATTGAGAAATAATTAACACCTCAGGGTGCTGAGGACAGCTGCCTGGCTTCTCCAGGATCAGAAGGATGTAATAACATGCACAGGAGCAGGGAGAAATTAAGGGCTACTTTGGATATGTAGATCCAAGAAATTCTGAAGTTTGCTTACCCCCTACCCCCAAAGAGGACGAGTGAGGAATATCAGTCCAGTAAGAACTCTAGGACTGCACTCCTTGGTGAAAGCCTCTACCACAGCACTGGGCTGTAGAGGCTCAGCAAAGCTCTTAGAGACTTGGTCCAGGTCCACACCAGCTCTGCCTGACCTCCTAGCTGGTGGGCAGATGCAGTCTTGTGCTCCACCTGAGCTGTGGTTTCTTCAACTATAATATCAGGATAATAACATGGCATCTACCCCTTGTCCCCTCCACCACCAGATTGTCCATTGCCTTTCCTCTAGGCCTGCAGATCTAACCCTGGCTGCACATTGGAATTTCCTGGGGAATTATAAAATAACAATGTCTGGGCCCACCCCAGACCCACAACCAGCATCTCGGGACAGGTGTGTGTGGGGGGGTGCGTATAGTGACTAATGCAGTCAAGGTTGAGAATCACTGCTCTAGCCTGTGTGCCAAGCTCTGTGTTAGGAGCTGGGAGAAATAAAGAAGTAAACCACACCACACCCCACGCTTCCCTCACACTGGCTCATCATTTCCTGATTTGTGCCTCTGAACATCCTGGTCCCTCCACCTGAACACTGCACTCACACCCACTGCCATTCTTGTCCGGGTAGAAGCCACTCATTCTTTAGGCTCAGCTCAAAGGTCACCTCCTCAGTGAAGCCTTCCTTCCCCACGCTCCCACAGGGGTTTGGTCAGCCCCTATCATACCACTTATCACACAGAGTTGCTCCTGGAAGATCCTGGCGGGCTGAGAGCTTCTTGGGGCCAGTATCAGAATCACCAGTGTCTTGCATTGGGTCTGGTATGTTTTAGGCATTCAATAATTGTAGCTGTTATTAGGTAGGGTTATGTAACATGCAGTTCCCACTTCAGGACATTTGCATTTCTTGTTTCCTGTGTCTGGAACATTCTTCCCCCAAATATCTGCAAGGCTGTGTCTCTCACCCCCTTCCCGTCTTTGCTAAAATGTCACCTGTTTGATGACGCTTTTTCTGATCCTCCTATTTTAAATTGCTAACACTTGGCCAGGCGCTCACACCTGTAAATCCCAGCACTTTGGGAAGCCAAGGTGGGTGGATCATCTGAGGTCAGGAGTTCGAGATCAGCCTGGCCCACATGATGAAACCTGGTCTCTACTAAAACTACAAAAATTAGCTGGGTGTGGTGGCGGACACCTGTAATCCCAGCTACCCGGGAGGTTGAGGCAGGAGAATCTCTGGAACCCAGGAAAAGGAGGCTGTAGTGAGTCAAGATTGCACCATTGCACTCCAGCCTGGGCAACAAGAGCAAAACTATCTAAAAAAAAAAAAAAAGTCACTAACACTTAACACCCCTACTCCATTCTCCTTCTGTAGTTTTTTCTTTATAGCCTTTAGCACCAGCTGACTGACAGATTGTCCTTTAAATTTTGATAATTTGTTCTCCATGAATTTTTTACATCAATTTTGCTTTTAAAAAAAACAATTGTATTAAAATACCGTTTATCTTGGTTACTGAGTTCTTTGCTCCATTCCCTGCACTGCTTAAATTTCACTGTATTGGTTTATTGCCTGTGTTCTCTCTAGAACGTAAGCTACACTGATGCAGTGAATTTTGTCTGTTTGGTTCACTGTCCCCAGTGTCTACAGCAGCAGCTTGTACCTGGTAGCTGCCGAAAAACTATTTTGTGAATGGAAGTTTGAATTCGTGTCTTAAAGACTGTCTTGGGCACTGTAATAAAGGTGTCTTTCTCCAACTGTTTCACAACGTTATATTATTTAAATGGAAAGCCCATAAAAATCATAGGATAGATTAGAAACCAAATTGCCCAGTGTGTCACCATGGTTACAAGTGGGTCTTGTCCCAAGTGGGTCCCCTGGAGGAGTGGGTAGGCCTGGCAGTGTGCGGAAACACCACACTTAAATCATCATAGAGTTACACCTCCCAAATTCCTAGAGGGTACTTCCGTCAGTCCCGGCCAATCAACGATCTTGGGGAAAGCCGTGTTCTCTCTCTTTGGCTAAACTTCCGGAAAACCTCTCACTCGTGTCTAGAGTGGGGCGGGGCCAGAGCGCTCCTAATCTCGCCCCCGTCCCCGCCCCCGTCAGCGCGGCTTTGCGATTGGTGAGCCGGGCGGGAGGCGGGGATTAGGGGCGCGACTTGCTCGTGGCGCAGGCGCGCTGGTCTGACGCGGCGGTGGTCTTGAGCGCGGCTTGGGCTGGGATTTCGGTAGGTGAACGTGGGTGACTGCCAGACCTGAGGGAGGGGCGCGGGCAGCTGAGTGAAGTGAGCACGCGGTTCTGGGCGCGGAGACCTAGGACCTTGGTGTCCGTTTTCCCACGTGCATCCCGTTCTTGAGTTGGGGCGGGCCGAGAATCACATAAACTTTTGAATACTCCTTGTCTCCTGGTCTCCGTGTCCTTGGAGGGCAGCACTTACTGGTGGCACTTACTGGTCTCCCTCGGTCGTCGTGAGAGTCATGCGGTGTTCTCGAAGTGCCAGTTCTGGAAAGGCCCTGGACCCCCCGCTGCCTGAGCCAGCCTTCCTGTTTTATGTTGGAGAAAACAGAGGTCCGGAGCGAAGTGATTGGACCGGAGTCACCGAGCGAGTGAAGGCCGAGCTGGTTTTTAGAACTAGGCCTGGGGTTGCATTGCTGTTTAATGTAGCACAGTTCGTGATGGAAACTGTAGGATTTGGAAGCGAGGACCTTGCCTTCCACGTCTGACCCTGTGTTTATATGCTGTGTGGCTTGACACAAGTGACTTTATATCTCAGAGCCTCCCTTTTCTGAGTTAGGCGTCATCATCATAATAGCAGCAGTTTATGGCACTTAATATGTATCAGGTAACGTTGTAAATGCTTTCTGTTCAGCTTTTCTGATTAGTGATTCTGATGCTCAATTAAATTTCAGAACCACTGGTGACTGTCATGTAGCAGGTGGTATTGAGGGGCTAACCCAATGTTGAGGCAGTAAGGGCCAGAATGGAGGGGTGGACTTAAGAGAAATCTTGGAGACAGACTCATTTGCTTTAAGAGGAATCAAGGATGAGTTTCTGGCTGGAGCCACTGACCTCAGTAAGCTTGGATCACAAGGAAGTGTGGAGCCAGGGGTGAATCCTCATGTGCTTTGCCTGCATGCCCTGTACATCCCCACAAAGCCACGCACTAGGACTCTGTGGCAGTACAGACCTTTAAACATTTGTACAGTGCACAGGGGAAATGGATGAAGCTGCTTGAGGCTGGAGAAAACCAGCTGGAGGACCTGAGGCTGCTAGAGGTAACCAGCTGGGAGATCTCAGCTCCCTAGAGCTGAGGGGTATCAGTAACCCATTCCCGGTATACTGCTGGGAGCTTTGCTGCATGGACTGTGCTGAAAAGTAGCGGTACTCACGAAATTTGGTGATATGAATCAAAAATCTCAAAAGAGTTTATAGCCTTTGATTCAGTAATTTCATTCCAACGTCTCTCTCAAATATATAACCAAAAAAAGGCTTCTCTTCCTTATAGATTATATATAACAGAAAACCAATTACTGATTTTTTATGTAATCAATCCTTGGAATGTTGTACTGCCATTAGAAATGTGTGAATATTTTGTAAAATCAGAGGAACATACTTGCCTATTGGACAATGTCTGGTAAGCCCCTGTCATGTCCTGAAGACACAGTGGTGAGCAAGCTAGACAGGTCCTTGCTTGCACTGAACCAAGTGTCTGGGGCAATATAGGCAGCCAAATGGGCAGGAACTCTAGGAGAAAAGTGGGCCATGTGGGAAAAGCCAGCCCTTTGGGGGTATGGGGAGTGGGACAAGAAGGGCTTCCTGAGGAGAGGATGGTAATCCTGAGGCCTGGAGGATGGGAAGATGTTGGCACGAAAAGGGGAAAGGGATGTTCTGTGCAAAAGGGACAGTGTGTTTAAGAGTGGGCGTGGCATGGCCAGGCTCAGTGGCTCACACTTGTAATCCCAGCACTTTGGGAGGCCAAGGCAGGCGGATCACGTGGTCAGGAGTTCAAGACTAGCCTGACCAATATGGTGAAACCTTGTGTCTACTAAAAATACAAAAATTATCCAGGTGTGGTGGCACGCACCTGTAGTCCCAGCTATTCGAGAGGCTGAGGCAGGAGAATTGCATGAACCTAGGAGGAGAGGCTGCAGTGAGCCAAGATGGTGCCACTGCACCCAGCCTGGGTAAAGGGGAACCACAAAAAAAAAAAAAAAAAAAAGTGGGCATGGCAAAGCCAGATCAGGGAGGGGGTAGTGCTGAGATGAGGCTCATGTGGGCTTCAGCCTTATTCTAAGGGTAGTAGGAGGCCATTTTAAGCAAGAAAAGCTGTTACCATCTGTGCTTGGGAAGTCTCCCCTGTGGCTGCAGCATGGAGAATGGATTGAAGGAGGGCAGGAATGGAAGGCAGCAACCACTGGGGAGGCTGTTGCAATGCTCCAGGTGAGAGACAAGGGTGGCCTGGACCTGGGTGGAGGCTGTGGAGGGAAGAGGGACAGATTGGACAGCAAGTGAAGAGGTAGGAATGAGAGGGCCAAGAGGGCTGTGAATGTGGGGCACAGAGAGGGGCAGGGCAGGTGAACCCCACTTTCTGCTTTGGACAAAGTGCAACTTTTGCTGCCATTCACAATGATAGGCAGTGCCGAAGGGGGAGTGGGTTTGGGATAGGATGCTGAGTTCATTCTGGGACGCGGAGTTTGAAGTACCTGCATGGTGTATTCTCTGGGAGGCAGGTGGAGATTTGAGTCAGCCCTCAGCCTGCAGGCTGTCCAGGGAGTGTGTGCTGTGAAGAGGGAAGAGATCTATGACATTTCAATGTTGGGGGGAGGGAGAGGGACAAGAGAGAGATGTGTAAAGGACAGGGCTCGCAAAAGACATCATAACAAAACATCAGCTGCAATCAACTCCAGGCCAAGGGATTACAGTTTATTTTCTTTTCTTTTTTTTTTCCTTTGAGACAGAGTCTCACTGTGTTGCCCAGGCTGGAGTACAGAGGTGCAGCCTCAGCCCACTGCATCCTCCACCTTCCAGGTTCAAGTGATTCTCCTGCCTCAGCCTCCCAAGTAGCTGGAATTACAGGCATGTGCCACCATGCCCAGCTAATTTTTGTAATTTTGGTAGAGATGGGGTTTTGCCATGTTGGCCAGGCTGGTCTCGAACTTCTGACCTCAGGTGATCTGCCCGCCTTGGCCTCCCAAAGTGCTGGAATTACAGGTGTGAGCCACCATGCTTGGCCTTCTTTTCTTTTTTGTTTTCAGATTTCCCCCCTCATTTTCTATAATAATAACAGCAGACATCAATTGAGCTCATAGTACATGCCAGATACTGTTCCAAGAACTTTTTATAACTCTTCTAACTGTACACAATAAGCCTACAAGGTAAGTCCTGTTGTTATTACCATTTTACAAATGAAGAAACAGCACAGAGGGGTTAAGACACGTGTCCCCAGCTACGTAGGGTGCAGCCAGTGGGAAGCCCGACTGGAATCCAGGCTGCCTCATTCCAGAACCTGTGCAGTCACTACACGCTGCTGTCTCGCCACAGGATGTTGTTAATGTTTTTATAATCAGGAAAATATTGATTTTTCAAAAACAGAAGTAAGAGGTTAGAGAAATAGTGCTTTGATCTGCTAGGATATTAGAAATGGAAGGATTTGTATCTGCAAATCAATGGCTGTCTTAAAAGTTTGTTGAGAGCAGACTGGGTCGGCTGCTTCATTGTGTTGGAACACAGGTGATGCTCATTCTCACACTCATTTTTCTCCAGGTGCTTCCTCGTGCCAGGGTGTCATGGAAGGGCTGCTGACAAGATGCAGAGCGTTGCCCGCCCTGGCCACCTGCGGCCACCAGCTCTCTGGGTTTGTTCCTCATAGGTTTCACTACTGTGTCCCAGGAGGAGGGCGGCGTCTGCTGCTGTCTCGTGTGTTCCAGCCACAGAACCTTCGGGAAGACCAGGTGCTCTCCCTGGAGGGCAGATCTGGGGACCTGACCTGTAAGAGCCAGCGGCTGATGCTGCAGGTGGGCCTCATCTACCCGGCAAGCCCCGGCTGTTACCACCTCCTGCCGTACACTGTTCGTGCCATGGAGAAGCTCGTGCGAGTGATAGACCAGGAGATGCAGGCCATCGGGGGCCAGAAAGTCAACATGCCCAGCCTCAGCCCGGCAGAGCTCTGGCAAGCCACTAACCGGTGGGACTTGATGGGCAAGGAGCTGTTGAGACTTAGAGACAGACATGGCAAGGAGTACTGCTTAGGACCAACTCACGAGGAAGCCATTACAGCCTTAATTGCCTCCCAAAAGAAACTGTCCTACAAGCAGCTTCCCTTCCTGCTGTACCAAGTGACAAGGAAGTTTCGAGATGAGCCCAGGCCCCGCTTTGGTCTTCTCCGCTGCCGAGAGTTTTACATGAAGGATATGTACACTTTTGACTCCTCCCCAGAGGCCGCCCAGCAGACCTACAGCCTGGTGTGTGATGCCTATTGCAGCCTGTTCGACAGGTTAGGGCTGCGATTTGTCAAGGTCCAGGCCGATGTGGGCAGCATCGGGGGCACAATGTCTCATGAGTTCCAGCTCCCAATGGATATTGGAGAGGACCGGCTTGCCATCTGTCCCAGCTGCAGCTTCTCAGCCAACGTGGAGACGCTAGGCATGTCACAAATGAACTGCCCTGCTTGCCAGGGCCCACTGACCGAAACCAAAGGCATTGAGGTGGGGCACACATTCTACCTGGGTACCAAGTACTCGTCCATTTTCAATGCCCAGTTTACCAATGTCTACGGCAAACCATCCCTGACTGAAATGGGGTGCTACGGCTTGGGCGTGACCCGGATCTTGGCTGCTGCCGTTGAAGTCCTCTCAACAGAAGACTGTGTCCGCTGGCCCAGCCTACTGGCCCCTTACCAAGCCTGCCTCATCCCCCCGAAGAAGGGCAGTAAGGAGGAGGCGGCCTCTGAGCTCGCAGGGCAGCTGTACGACCACATCACAGAGGCAGTGCCTCAGCTTCACGGGGAGGTGCTCCTGGATGACAGGACCCATCTGACCATCGGAAACAGACTGAAAGATGCCAATAAGTTTGGCTACCCCTTTGTGATAATCACTGGCAAGAGGGCCCTGGAGGACCCTGCACATTTTGAGGTTTGGTGTCAGAACACTGGTGAGGTGGTCTTCCTCACCAAAGATGGAGTCATGGATTTACTGACCCAAGTGCAGACCATCTAAATGTCCCCAGCCCACCCCTGCCCCCACCTTGCAGCCTTGGTGCTCATTCTAACACTGCATTTTCCTACCCCTTTCCTGGACTGCTCTCTCCGGGAACAGCACAGCTCATGGAGGGTGAGATCATGTTAGGGATGCCAATTTTTATCTAGTCATTTGTTCAGCTTATTTGTACTTTAAGTCATTAACTTGATCCCTTTCTTCAGACTGGCCATGCTGCCCTATACCTTTCCTTTTGTATTCCATTGTGGAAGCTTCTAGGAGGCTGAGAGGCAAGAGACCCAAGTTCCAGTCTTGGGCCTCTCGTAAATCACATGTAGGATGAGACTGGCTGATGGCTGAGGGTCCCACAACCTTCCCCACCAGCCGTCAGTTTGACCACGGGCCTTTTGCTACATTCTGTCCAGAGGGCAGGCCTGCCAGCCCGCCTCCACCGAGAAGTTGGGCTGAGAGTGTGGGGAGAAGAATCGAGATCTGACTGCCACCAACCCACTGGTGACTTAGACACATCCCCCACCCCTGCTGGGGCCTCAGTTTCCCCATCTGTAACTTGAGAAAATGGAACTAGATCTGTAATATCCTTATACGGGTCACTGGGGGGTTCCATGAGAGGTTTGTGACAGACGGATCTGGTTCCTCTGATCCTCCAGTCAGAGGAACTGATGGCCCAAAAGCTACCTCAAGAGACCTGGCCCCATTAAGATGGCTTAAGCACTGAGATCATGTTCTACTGATTGAGTAAAGTCAAACTATTGGAAGGAGCCTTGCACATTAATTTGAAACAAGGATAACATCTGCCATTTCAACGGTGCAACAGCTTCCTACTCTTTTCTTTTTTGACTGTTCCCACACACCCCCACCCCCCACATAAAAAACCGGGTGGTTGGGAAAATGTGGTTTAAACCACCTCTTCCCACAAGTATGGGGCACAGGCTTCAGCTGCCATGGTGACCTTATCCTAGGTGCAGAGTTGGATCCTAGAGCCATGATGGGGTGAATATTAAGAGCTGGTCTCTGTGTCCTTCATGTAGAAGCTGTGCTTTAAAAAAAAAAAAAAAAAAAAAAAACTCCCCTCTGCCTGAATTCCATGGCAAACAGAGCAGGCTAGAACTACCTCAGCAATGCCAATGACTTTCATTGCTCCTGCATCCTAGATTAGGAACATAACCAAGTTTTCCATCCATGGCCCCTTAGGGTCTCTACATGTCTGTATCTGACAAGAATCTATCAAGACCAAGCTCAGCCAGCACCTCCTAAAAAGCTGCCTAGCAGCTCCGAATGGTGGTTCTCCTGCCTCCCACAGCACCGATCACATCCCTTCTTGTTTTGTGCGTACACAGCTCATTGTACAGTGGTCCTGTCTCTTGTTGACGGTGAGCTCCCTGAGGCCAGGGCCCTGAGCTAATTCCTAGTGCACTGCAGTTCATGTTTTGGCCAGTGGTTCCACCTGCTAAACAACCTCTGGGCAGCCTGATACTGGTAGAGGAACCCGGTTCCCAAGCACACAGCACCAGGTTTTCTTTTTTTAGTTTTGGGACGGAGTTTCCCTCCTGTTGTCCAGGCTGGAGTGCAATGGGGTGATCTAGGCTCACTGCAACCTCCACCTGCCTCAGTCTCCCAAGTAGCTGGGATTACAGGCATGTGTCACCACATTCAGTTAATTTTGTATTTTTAGTAGAGATGAGGTTTCTCCATGTTGGTCAGGCTGGTCTTGAACTCCTGACTTCAGGTGATCTGCCTCTCATAGTGCTGGGATTACAGGCATGAACCACTACACCCGGCCAGCATCAGGTTTTCTAATGAATGTGTATGCCAAGCTCTACCAGCTCCCAGCCCTGCCAATTGGGGCTCCAGGCCCAGGGTTCCTTTGAAATACTTCCGATTTTCAGGCTAGGAGACGTGCATTCTGAGAGCAAACCTAGTAAGGCTCGATTACAAAGCAGAGGATCTTAACCATGCACACTGGAATCATCTGGGTCCCACCCAGACGGTCTGGTTACATGTAGGGTATATGTAGCATGGGCATTGGGAAGTTTAAAGCTTCCCAGCTGATTGTAATGTGCAGTCAAAGTCAATTGAGAGCTCCTGGTATATAAGCTGCCTCCTCTGGACCCACTTTGTAGCTGGGCATTTCTTTTAGTAATTTCAGTTGTTCATTATCAGACTGATTGATAGGCTCACTCTGCTTTTAATGGGCTGGCCATTTATTTGTTGAGGATCTGCCATATGCCACCAGTGTGAGGCACTTTTTAATTTATTTATTTTTATTTTTCAGAGATGGGGTCTCCCTATGTTGCTGAGGCAGCAGGTTTCAAACTCCTGGCCTCAAGCAATCCTGCCTCAGCCTCCTGAGTAGCTCGGGACTATAGATGTGCACCACCACAGTGGCTAATTTTTTTTTTTTTCTTAAGAGACAGGGTCTCGCTCACTTTGTTGCCCAGGCTGGTCTCCAACTCCTGGCTTCAAGTGATCCTCCTGCCTCGGCCTCCCAAAGTGCTGGGATTACAGGTGTAAGCCACTGCACCTGGCCACTGTTAGGCACTTTATATGCCATTTTCAGACTTTACAATTGTGTAAGATAGATGCTGTTATCTGATTTTACAGATGAGGAAGCATGAGGATCTATTTCAGCAACTTACCCAAGGATGCATAGCTATTATCACAGCTAGATGGCAGGCACTAGCCAGATTGCCCTTCTCACTACACTGCTTAGCCTCTGTAAAACTAAATTATATATATCTAACCAAGTTAGCCTAAAGTATGTGAGAAAGCAAGATTCATGTAAATGGGTGCTTTACGTATATATATTTTTAAGAAACAGGTGTTTGCCTGGGCACGGTGGCTCAAGCCTGCTATCCCAGCACTTTGGGAGGCTGAGGCCAAAGGATCACTTGAGCCCAAGAGTTCAGGACCAACCTGGCCAACATCCGGGCATGGTGGCACACACCTGTAGTCCCAGCTACTTGGGAGAGGCTGAGGTGGGGGGATTGCTTGAGCCCATGGGGTGGAAGTTGCAGTGTGCTGAGATGGCGCCACTACACTCCTGCCTGGGTGATAGAGCCAGACCCTGTCTCAGAAAAAAAAAGATTTTCCATAAATATTTAAAAAAAGAGAGAGGCGAGTTCTTGCTATGTTGTTCAGGCTGGACTTAACTCCTGGGCTACGCAGTCCTCCCAATTCAGCCTCCCAGGTACTGTGCCACTTTGACTGGCTAAATTATTTTTATTTTTATTTTTTGGCTGAATAATTTTTTAACTTTAAATTTATGCTCCATAAGCTTGCTTGTTTATGGGAGGTTAGCCTAATGTTAGCACTTTTAAAAACCAGATTCCAGAAATAGAGAACCAGTTCATTTGACTTTTGATTAATGTGCAAGGTCTAGACTGACTTGAGGATGATCTAGAATCCCAGAGCTTTAGAATTTAGGAAAACTTGAAGCTGGCCTTGGCTCTGGGCTGGGAAGTGGGCCTGGAGCAGGAATGAACCCGCCACACGTCATCCGACTTGCAGAATGCCTGAGGACAGGCCAGGCGCCAGCCTTCTCTGGTCAGTCCTGCTGAGTGAAGAGAAGACTGGCTGGATCAGCCTCTGAGCTGCCAAAGCTGTGTAAGTTCGTGAAACAGATGCCCATGCTCTTTAGTTTACAATAGGGAGAGAAATACAGGGAGGACACCGATTTGCCCAAGGCTGAGTGAAACCTAAGTGTGCTGATCACGAAGCCAGCATTTTTTCTAGTAGCCAGGGGCAGCGTGATTTGGCGAAAAGATCAGAGCCGTGAAGAGACATAATCCTAGATCGCTTACTGGGGATGTGACCTCAGACAGATTACTTGCCCTATGTGCGTCTCAGATTCTCCATCGGTGAGACACTCGTGCAAACGGTACCCACCTTGTAGCAGGGTGGCGGCGGTGGCGGGGGAGGTTGGGGCTTGACCAAGCTCACGTATATGAAATGCTTCATTACCCCTTAGTCTGCACTCAGAGACATTTACTTCCCTTACACCAGACGACTTAGGAAATTCCCCCACTGGGAGCTCAGGTTCTGTTGTTAACTTTGTTATCTCAAGACCTGGATCTTGTTTTCTTGATAAGATGCTTGACAACTTTCCTGGGAAATGCCACAGGCAAGAATTAGGAGGCACCTGCAAAATAGCTGTATCTCCTTAGAGGAAAGGCAGAAATAAACTGTGTACCTTACTGTCTCATTTCTGAACTTGCCAATTTTACCTCTTGCCATAAATTGATGAAATGGGATGCTGGCAGAATAGCAGGTACAGGCTGTATTATCATTGCTCATTCCTTGGGGAGATCTAGCAGCGACTGCCTGGGAAATATTTAGCAGAATTAATACTTGGGGACAAAGGCTGGTGCATAACAAAACCATTGTGTAAATCAGGCTTAGAATGTAAATCAAGGGCTCCATTAATATTCTGTGTTTTAATGGAAGAAACACCTGCTGGGCTATCCATAAAGGAGTTTTGCAGAAATCTGTTGAAATTATCGTTTCCTTAACTACTTGAGTGCCAGGTCTCCAGAGTTCCCACAATCCGTTTCCACACCGAGATGCATGAGTGCCTATTAGAATGGATTGTTACGCATCCAAGGGCATGTGAGGCTTTGTTTTAGAGTTAGGAAAATGATTTTTAAGTTTTCTTATAATGTGGAAAATGGGAAAATTTTTTTATGATGTTATTGCAAACTTAAGTAACATTTGAAAAAAGTCAAGGTATTTTGCATAACTTAAAAATAATGAGGCTGGGCGCATGCCTATAATCCTAGAGTTTGAGACCAGCCTGGGCAACATGGCAAAACTTCATCTCTACAAAAAATATAAAAATTAGCTGGGCGTGGTGGCAGGCACCTGTGGTGCCAGCTATTTGGGAGGCTGAGGTAGGAGGATGGCTTGAGCCCAGGAAACGAGATTGCAGTGAGCCAAGATCATGCCACTGCATTCCAACCGAGGCAACAGAGAGAGACCCTGTCTCAAAAATAAAAATAAAATTACTTATAGTGACTCCAACTACCGACTCTGGAGTCAGACTGTCTGTGCCACTTACTATCTCTGTGACACTTGTGCAAGGCACTTCCTCATAGTCCCTCCACTTCAGTTATCTGTAAAATGGGAATAACAGGGCCTGGCCCACAGCAGATGCTTGGTAAGTGGAGCTGCCTATATATTGAGTGATACTTTGCACAGAAGGTAGCTGGGTGGTGCACTATGGCCAGTAGAATGGGGTGGCAACTTTAAGCACCATCTTGGTGCAGGGGTTCCTGTCAAGCCAGCAGTGCCCAAGGCTGCTAATGAGCCCCTATGGTTAAAGCTTAATTGCTCTTAGCTAATTAAAACTGTGTAGGGCCAGGAGAATGAAAAGGTGGCACCAGTTCATGGTATCTCAGGATGCCCTTTTTCCAGGGCAGCACTTGCTGCCAAGGCTTGCCAAGAAAAGCTCATAGGCTGACGGGAGCCCCATTGGCAGAGTATTGAGTGCTATGGGGATTCAAATGTGGGCTCTGGTGGGGGTTTCCGCAGACAGTGGATTCTTCTACCCAGGCAGACAGGTTGGGGACACTGCACGACACAGTGAGTGCCAAGACTTTACTATAAGCTTGGACTGAGAAGGCAAGGGCAGCTGGGTCTGTTGCAAACTCCTTGAAGGCAGGGGGCTGGTCTCGTTAATACCGATATCTCCTGAGGGGTTTAGCAGAGTCCTGAATTCAAGTTCTGGTTCTACTATTCATTAGCCAGCTGACTTTGAGCAAGT